GCAGTTTTTTTCTGGGAGTTCCAGGCTCCAGGTTGATGCACTGAGTCCATTAGTGATCCCCATTGAGACACCGGATCTATACGCGACGCCCCATATAACGCTTATTTTATACGAAACCTGGTGAACGAAGCGATCGACTGTGTGATGACAGTGGTGGCCGCTGGGCGCTAGTCTCAAGTAGTGGCCGCTTGGGCACGATTCAAGTACAAATTCAGTCGTCAGAACCGCCCCCGATCTATTGGGATAGGTCTTTTGTTGTATCGAATTCGTCACACTACGGCGTTAGATCAAGTGAAAGTTCAAATCATCTACATACACACACACTCAACGCTCCAGCTACCATACAAACAGTCACGATGTCCCAGTTCGTGACTATCAGATTGGAATCGCTTTGGAGATGAACAAAAACGAAGATTCCTAAAATTTCTAAGGAATCTTGATTTTCATTGTTTCATGTCCATTACAGTATCACCATCTCAGAGGAATTGCCAGATGATCCTCTGCGCGATGGCTTTAACGTCCGTCGGAAGACAGAAAAGTGTTTAGGAGGTCTTAACATGATCAGGTTCGCTTTTGATGCGTACTGTAAATACAGTAATCTCTGTGGAGTTCTGTAATCTTGCAGCGGCAGCAGGTTTTGACAGAATGCACAAATTGCTGCAGATTATGCGATATCTATATCTTCATAGCTTGAATACTGAAAGACTCATTAGTCACCGATTCTAGGCCAACTGATCCTGACGGTATTCCGGGTACACAGGCTCAGGTATTTTACGTATTGCTCGGTTGTATCACATCGTACAACTTTACAGTTCTTTCGTAGCAATTTTGCCACAGTTATGAACTACCCATACCCGTTCTTCTCAATCGAGTAAAGTAACGGGTATAAGTTCTGTGTAATGATCAGTCACTCTTATCGGTCTTGGAGTATGGCCTATGTGGTCACTTCCTGTAGCCTTATCTCGCTTCTGTCGCACTTTGGCTTACCTTCCATAACCGGATTGGTATATCACTGTAATTTTTGTAGTTTTCCTTATAAAGTGGTCCAAATTAGCCGTGCTTTCCTGAAGTTCTACAAAACTTCAGAGCACACGCCGTTATGAATGAGTCGGAGAAAGGGAAGGAAAGTCAGAAACGAATAGCGGCCAAAAGAGCAGGAGACCCTGTGAATGAGGAGTATCCACTTTAGCACCCCGTATTGCAGTGTCCTCACCACTTCCACCAAAAAGTAAAACTCGAGGTACTCAGAAGCCTTAGAAGGGAAACTTCATCTATGAAAGGCAACTGCCATCGTCCAGAGGAGTCTGCGATTCAATCGTTTTTATATTTTAAGTACTAGAAATATTTAATATTTTCGTTTTCATCAGAACTCAGAAGTCAAAAGTTGTTCCTTACTTACTTTAGAAGTTCCTTCCTTCTGATTGCCTTTCATCTACTTTGTTTATTTTTCCCACTGTATGGCCTGGATTATGCACATGAACTGCTGGTAGAAGTCCTGCTGTTGGGCTTATCGATTCCACTACTTGATGATCCCATTCGGCTTGTAGTTCTTTACTGGTAAGTCCGATCACCCAGATGGGTACTGGTTGTCATTGTTGATTAATAACAACAAGATATGGATTGAAATTGAAATTCTCGCGAGTGAACAGACCGTAACGAAGAGACGAGCGGTCTGTGTGAACGATCTGTGACATCCTTTTCATGTGGCCGTGTTAATTAAAGCGCCACATAGGGATATGGTCATTAGCGTTTGGTCCCGTCGCTTTTCCTTTCCATCAGTACTTCGGCAAAATCTAATTAATCAATTGTTGTCGTTGTGGCGATAATTCATAGCGGCTCTGGAGATGGCCGAAGGTTATAATGAAGCTTGTCTTTTGACAGAATATCAGGGAAATTGCTCAGGTACTCAGGTTTGTTGAAGGGAATCTTATGGAAGAAAGGGAGAGGGTTTTCTAGAAGTTTCTTCCTATCTTTCATGAAAGTTCCTGCTTAGTTTCTTACCGATCAGTTGAAAATCCCGGTTGTCCAACCATTACGTCTCGTAGGCATGTTTGTTGGTAGGGTTTAGTGGACAGACTATTTTTCTTCCAATTAAAATATCTTGCGTTTCCCAGTCTGCATTGGGTAGGGAGATTCTACAACACCTCAATTCTTAGCTTTACCTTTCATTGACCATTGCCAATCTAAGATTTCCTAGTTGTTCGCTTAACTTTTTTGAGCCCAGACAAGAGTGAAAGCTCTTCCCTGGATCCAGTACTTTCTTCTGGACTGGAACAACCTATTTTAGTAGGTTATTTTTACAGTAATATTGAGGCACATTCCGCGATAAACCAAGTGGGAAGTCTCTCAGTCTCTCCCCTCCCTCTCCTCAGCCATCCCCCACCCCCCACCTTTCCCAACGCAGATCTTCTAGGGTTAAGGGAATATGGTAATCTTCACAAAATTGTGTCGAGATGGGGAACAAAAATCTAACAAAATCTAAAAGAAACTGTTTCTCGAAAAGCAGTCTTAGCTATCTAACTTTTATAATTGCCAAATGAATGGCAGAGTTTTGCATGAATGTAACGCTAGCAGAGTTCAACGGATGGTATTGTTTGATTCCCGTCATATGGAAACTCGTCCACTCTATCATTGTCGAAATACGAAAATCAGCTTCAAAGAAGAGGACCTTTTCTGGATTCAACATTCTTCGGCTTTTTTTCGGGTCTAGTCGATACGCCTTGTCACTTCCATTTTCACCTTTGTTGCCGCTGTTCACAACCTGCTCCTACCTTTATTGCCTCTTGTTGAACTGTTTCTTTCTTGCCTTCCTTGTTTGTACTTAATCTATCACCTGTCGTTAGCGTTTCCCGAGGAAGAGTCAAATAAAATACCGATGCACCCCGTAACCAGTTAACACTGAGGAGTTGTTTCCAAAACAGTATTTGAGGACTGAAAAGTTGAGGTCTTCTGAAGGGGTTGCTGTCTTATCCTAAGTATTCAAGGAGACCTATCGTACTTGCGTAATTTTTCGAGTTTTCGTCAAAAACATGGTTCCGCCCTTTATGGTTGGTGAGGTACAGTGGTACCGTCTGTGTTTTAGTAAATACCTGAATCGTCTCCAAAAATATCTGAAAAACCAAAAGAAAAGCTTCATGCACGGTGTATCTCAAATCGCTTGAGATGAGAAGGAGATCCGATGGGAGCATATCATTCGTTCAAATGAAGTATGGCTAGAACTGAACATACGTGATCGATTCATCCGAACAGATGTTTCAGATGGATTTTATCAGTCCGACCGATGATGCATGTACCAGTTTGATTCTACCAGTCTGTCTGTCCTGTGGGGGGAGATTGTTATTGAGTGATTGTTGTGTTGTCGCATATGCGATCGCATCTGCTGCTATCAAAAGCAGACAGAGAGGCATAGAGAAAAGGGTGGAGGAATAGGAAGAGGCTCGAGGCTGGCCGGCATCCGGTTTATCACTCTGCCTCCACCATGTGTGGTTGATTAGCCATCTGCCACAACTACGACCAGGACGACGACGACGGCGGTGGCGACGACGACGGCGGCGACGACATGGACAACGACCGCCATCGTCATTCCCCTTTTCGATTCCACTGTCCCTGTCCAACTCAATGCGTACAACCGTTTTCACCTCTATAGCCTGTCTCGCCCTCATCGAAACAAACACGACACGACACCATCAGATAACCAACCCATTCTGACAGCAAGTTTTTACCCTGCTCCCGTCTTCCATGTGAAATATCAGGCGTTCTTTTCACCCTTTGAGGTGTTAATCGATAGTTACAAAGAGTCACTCCCTCATGGAATTCGTAGTTTTTCACATTGAATGTGCTCGTTTACAGAGATCGCATACGGCGTGACGTGGTTTTATCAGCTCGGCCACATGCAGATGTAATTAAGCCTATCAGGATGATGAGAAAAGCGTCCCGAGACTAGGCATTACGAAAGCCTTCGACTACTCTTGTCCGCCTCTTTGCTCATCAACTAGTAACATAGGGTATCCCTCTTTGAGTCATGCCTTTCATTATGGAACCTTAATTGACAGATCTGGATTAACCCTAACAGGAGATAACTTTCCCATGAAAACATGAAGGAGTCTTATGGAAACCGCACCTCGAAGAAGGGAAACCCGATTCGTGCACGCGATGAGAAGCTTTGTTCTCAGACTCTTTGCACCCCCTCCCCCCGTGGTCGCTGGACCGGGATATAGTTGCCCCGATATTTGGCCGATACGTAAGCCGTCAAGGTTGAGCTGCGCGCACACCTTGTTTCCTCAGTGTCCGTATGTGTGTGTGTGCGTGTGTGTACCTCAGTCTGTTTGAGGTTTCCTATACATAGTAGCCAGTTCAATTACTCGCCTTTCAAGGTCTTAGCAATTTCGATCGAATGTCACGGAAGATCTGTTAGTGGGGAGTAGCCTAAGTTCAAAGTTACAGCTGTAGAACAAAGTGCTTGGGCAATGAAATGGTTCACTCTTCCTGCTTTTTCCTTTCTTTTTCACTTTTTTCGATCTTCTCTTGGTATTTTATCCGAATATGATCAAGATTCACTCTTTTTGGTGTCAAAAAAGTGGCTGATACGATGTTGACTCGCTATTTGGCTGATGTCCTTCGTAGTGTTCTTCACGATGTTCTTATACACTCGATAACACCAGTCCATAGGAAAAGCGCTCAGTCTTTGAGATTGCGCGCAACGAGCACATTTCAATACGTTTCAGTGCACTTTATCAATAACCACTATTGGATTTCCTGAACATCTGCACGACCCATATCAATGGAAATCGTGAGTACATCGCGAAAGCCGTAGTTCCGTGTTTTTCCGGAAGAGGAAAGCCACCCCCCCCCCCCTTGTTCATAAAATAACGTCATTGATCAGTAGCCGTTCTTGATTATGTACCAAGCCGGATCACATTTTTCAATGTCTGCAAAGTCCGTCGAAGACGGAGATTTGTGTCCACATCTACCATTTCACCATGTCATTCATCAGTTTCTACCTACCGTACTACTTCACTCCACTTCGCTCCACCGTAATCACCTTCCGGACGATAATTATCCTGGGCGATTTCCATCTGCACATCTAAATCATCGAACCCACTTCGACAGCGCAAAGTTGCTAGGTTGGCTGTAGTTGATGTCGTTGATGGCCGCGACGCACGGCCAACGTCGACCCTAGTCTGTCTTCTCCTTGTCGTCATCGCGCCATCGTCGTCGTCGTCATGATCATCATCGTATTCGTCACTGTGATTCTTAGTGATGGCGCCGATAGAGGTAGTGATG